CCCGCCGCTCCTTGGAACCCAAGTCACGCTCCCACAACAACTGCTCCTCTGTGCCTGTTTGAACTGTCCCTCCCAATTAGCAGTAATAAGTGACTCTGTAAAGATGAGCAAACACGGCGCATTCATTAGCCCCGGCGGCCCCCGCCCTCCCTCCCGGCAGCCCCAGGAGATCCCCAGGGCCCCGCTCCCGAGGATGCCGAGCGCATCCCTCCCGGCCTCAACGAGCGCCGGCAAAAGGCAAATTAATGACAAGTCGCTCGAAGAGTTTGCCTGAAATTATTTTATTCTGCCCGGGAATTGATTACTCCCGGCCTGGAAATATGTCCAAATCAATACGTTAAAGCTCAGGGCAAAAAAGACATGCTCTAGCCCCATTTATTTAATCCACTTTTTTGAGGAATGGCACATAATTTACCGGGTAGGAATTGCTAAGCCTTTCCAGAGCGAGGACTAATGACAAGCCATGGAAAAGCAGTGCCTTCATCCATCTCCCAGGAGAGCTGGGGACAAACTTGGTGGCGGCCAAGACCCCCCAAAGTACCAGGACGTGCCTCCAGCCACCCCTGCCAGGCAGACGGATACAGAGGCGAACCACGTGGCCCAGGGTGCCAACCAAGGAAGCCATTTCAGACCTCCCCTTTAGATGAATCTTCTTAAAACAAGACCAAAATCCCTCCCAAAAGGATGACTGCTGCCCAGGTGGCATCCCTTGTTTCGCTCATATCTGTGCATCCTGCATCATTTCCTACAGGTAACGTGGCCTGCAGACAAATACTCACTCCAGGCTACTAAAGCACAAAACAAATATCCAACCCCACCTGGAACCAGCCTCACTGCTAGTTTTGGCAGCAAAGTCCAGGAAAAAGAACAGCCCTGCAAATACTGAACATGCAGGTGGTACAGGCCTCCCACTCATGCTCAAGGTAACTGCCACCAGGCACTCAAAACCTGTTGGTACGTTTTCAGGAAAGCAGGAACACATCCCAGCACTGGAGTGATGGGAAATGCCTGCCTGGAAGCCCCTGGGTCCCACGACAACTGAAACCAGGCTGAAAGAAACGCTGGTTCTGGGGTGAGCTGAAAGTGCTGCTGAATGTACACAACAAACACTGATATTGTGTGAGCAACATTTGAGGCTTGGCCTCAGCATCTGCACTACCCAGAGTACCTGGGTTCAGCTCCCTGAAGTAAACAGCATGAGGGACACTGTGCAGGACAAGGACATGTCACATTACCAGGGAATGAGACCCAGGTCTGGAGGAAATGTCAGCACCACGTGCTGCTTTGCACAGCGAACGCTCCAGACGCACCTTGCGGATGACACATGCCTGCCACGCACCCCATTTGTGAATCCTCTGCATGCTCCACAGGGTCCTGGATTTTCCAGGGCATTAAACCCTCTCCCCCCTCAGAAAGCATCATGGCAGCTGTCATGCTGCTCACGGGGGGTGGACGGGAGGGCTCCTCGCTGGAGACCATCAGTGTCACTCCCGAGCCGGTGGTGGGTGAAGGACGAGGTGGCCCTGCCGGCCCCGGGAGCTGCCAGCCCGTGCTGGGAGGGCTGTCACTGCTCCCCGAGAGGAGCTGTGGGAGCAGCACCTGTCCCTGAGGTGCAGGGTAGGGTAGCACACCTCTATGGACCCTCTCGTGGCTTCCCACGGGCGACTCAAGGAGAGGACAGTTCCAATCGCATCAAAACCAGGGAACTCAAACCTTTCTACTCTCCATGATCCCTTCAAGAGAACATCTTTATGTAAAACAGGCACATAAAGTAGCAAAACACTGCAAAAATCAAAAGCCAGGGTTTGCTGGCCCTCCTGGTCTGCTCGGCACAGCTCCGAGGGCACCGTGTCCCCAGGCCTGTCCCCTGGGCAGCCTTGGGCTGCAGGAGAATTCCCGCCAGCCCCATCTCACAGAGGAGACATGCCAAGGCAGGAGAGGAGCCCGAGGAAAGAGCAAAACACAGCAGGGCTTGCTGAACCCCAGCCCAGCTCAGAGAGTCCAGTGAGGGGAAGCAGAGGGTTTCCATCCAGAGGGGCTGTCCGTGCCCTGCACGTCTGGCCCTGCCATCAGAGCCCCCTCAGCCCCGGCCCATGGACAAGGGCTCTCGGCTCTCACCCTCCTTCAGCTGCACTTGGCTCTGCTTACAGGGGATTTTTCTAGACTGAAACGCTGCTTCTCTCCCATTCAGAATGGGAACATCCATGAAAAGGGGTCATTCATGATAAACTTGTGAGTGCCGGGTAGGAAAAAACCCACTCAGCCCAGGAAACAACATCGCCTTTATTTTTCAGCACTTCTGCCGGAGCCTGCAGGATGCTCCGTGGGTGAGGCAGTGAGGGCTGGGGGGCTCAGCACAGTCCCTCTGCACTCCCTGCCCTGCCCAGCTCCCCAGGCACAGCCTCGTGGAGCGGGGCAGGGACCTGCAGTACCCAGGGACACATGGCAGGGCCTCCATTCCTTCGCTCACCTCCCTTCCATCCTAACAGGCACAAATCCCCACATGTGGCGGCAGTGTAAACAAGTTTTATTACTCAATAAAATATTTGAAGCAAAATAAATGGTTTTGTCAAACACTACATCTCCTCAAATAATAATGCACCGGCTTACAAAGAAAAACAACCGACATTCATATTCTACGGCAAAGGTTTATTTCCCCTCCCAGAGGAGAGGGGAACAGGCATTTCAATTCGGAATTCAGATACTGTATGGGAATACAGTAACTATAGTTCTCGGAGGGTTTGTGCAAATGCCAGCAAACAAACCCCCAAATCAAATTTATTAGCTGGTGGAGATCTCTAACAATCTTACACAGTGACTGATGAAGCCGTCGGGGAATTCCTTTCAACATTAAGTGATTTAAAGCCCCTACAGAAACTTCATTGTCTGTTCCAAGACAGAAAGAGTTCCTCGGTATCCAGTGCTGCTCCAACAGCAGCACTGGGCTGTGTGTTACTGCCAGTGTGTGTTTCCTTTCATCTGGAAAGCTAACCAGGAATCCTAACATCCCTAGTCCTGTGGAGAACTATAAAAGGAGGAAGTGCAAATTCATTAAGAAGCACAGCCTGTGTTTTAAAGGGACTGTCTGTATTTTGGAGGCAAGGTTGAGATGCTCACTTCTGCCCTGGGAGTGCTTCCAGGAAACGATCCGAGTCTCACTCTCCCCCACGGATCAGCCACTGAACACCCCCAACCTGCTCGGCACAGACCAGACCTGCAGGTGTGGACACAGCCAACTCCCACCAAAATCCAGGGGTGCCAGAACAGGGCTGGGCTGTGCTGTGGCAGTGCCAAGCTGCTCTCTGGGGAGAGCACCAGCGATGGCAGCCTGGCTCTGCTCCGGGATGGGAGATGCCTCGGGATGCATGGGGGAGGAGGGTGGAGGCACAGCCAGTGCCCCGCAGCACCCACACCGCCCAGCCCAGGCCAGCTCCCTCACAACCATTGCTTAAAGCAAACCCAGAAATGCACAACACTAATTGCCAGGTTTTTATCATGCACACTCATAACTGGGTCATTTGCATTTCAGCTGCTAAAATATCAGGGGGATGTTATTTAATCAATCATCACAGCGTACAAAGTCCTAAGTGAGAGAAGATTTTTTGATTGTCTCTGCTTGTATCTAAACATCTCACAAACCCGCCAGCCAGTTCTTCATTTCAATTAGGGCAATGCTGATCGTTAGCTAACTAATAAGGACCAATTTTCTGTCACAACTATTTCCTAATTAAATTCAAAACAGAGATTTCTAACCCAGATGGTCAGTGATGCTACAGATTTGTTTAAATTTGGTATCACAGTAACAAACTACTAATTAGGGTTTGTAAATACACCAATTCCCTTATGACTTAGTTGTTAGTAATGCATACAACCGGTTTATTAAAGCACTAATTGTGTCTGGCTTTACTTGGGCCTAACACATAATCCACTTATCACATACTGGTACCAACTCATTTTGAAGGGATTATGAATGAAATCATAAATGAGGTCTCGCATCCAGTTCCCGGTATGGTTAATAAAGGTTTGGTGTCATATTTAGATGATTTTCTGCCTCTGATGGAGAGTAGCCCAGCAGTGACGCTGCTGCTCCTTCTCCAAAGGCTGTCTAATGAAGAAAGTTCTGGCTGCCACCTCCATGCCCAAAAAGGGGTTTCTGCCCCAGGTCTGCTGACCAGCGAATCAAACCAGCAGCCAAGCTCTTGAAAAGGAGCCCCAGCCTTTCCCAGAGAAAGCACCGAGTTCTTTATTTCCCACTGGTGGGAGACCCCCAGGAGACCTACCGGAGACCCTCGGGAACCCTGACCACCTGCTTGCAGAGGGATGGAGGATCCTCCCAGTGCCACCCAACCTGGATTCCGTCTCTCCCTTGCAGAGGGACAGCCCTCCTGAGGAGCCCCTGGTTTGTGTGGAAACCTTTGTTCCGAGGAGCACAACCCAGAGACAGCCCGTGGGCTCAACGCCCCTCGGGTGTGCAGAAAGTAGGAAATAAATGATAGATAACTGTGAATTGCAAGGTTATGTAAACACGGAGGGGGTTTTAGAAGAATCCTATTAAACCACAAAAGAAAAGCATGGATGGTTTATCACATCACTAAGACCCAAGAATGCATTAATAAATAGAAGAATAGATAATGAACCGTGGAGTACAAGGCTAAACTATCCGCTATTGTGAGGATCCTGTGACAGTAGAAACAATGAAGGGGAAGAAAAAGCTTTGTTGGTCTGTCACCAGAACCTTGTAGTGTATCTTTTATAGCCTACGTTTAATGAATTCACAGCACCTATCAGTTATTCTCTGCCCAAACCCCTCATTTTCCTCCCTCCTGAATGCAGATTCCCATGCTGCACTCTGCCTTCACCATGACGTCCCCCCTCAAACTCGGGGTTTCTCTGCCTTTCAATGGCCTTTCAGCCACAGCGAGAACAGGTTTCTGCTTTCATATTTCCAAAGGGTTTCCAGCATGGTAACAAAAGTGGGGTTTAATGCAAAGCAGGAGTACCTCCGAGCCCTGCTGCCTCCTTTGCTCCTTCTGTGACAGAACGGTGAAAGCTCAGACAGGTCTAATTCAGCTCGGAGTGACGATGCCCAGACGTGCCTGCAAGGAAAAAAAAAACACATGAAGGCTGCTGCTCCTCTTGCTGTTTTCCAGCCCTCTGCAAATAACACTGAGAATTGTTGGAGGGGACTTAATATTAATCCAAGAGATAGTACCATCTTTGTAGACACTGCTGAGACTCACTAACACTTTATTTTCATTGCACTGAGGGGTTTTTATCATTAAATAGGGAGCCAGGATACATTTACTGTAGATTACTTTTATTTTTACTGCAGCATCGTTAGGTACAGAGCACTAAGGAGGCAGGGGTGAGCAGGACACGCTCAGCCGCAGTAAAACCCCTCGCTCCTGCCTCCACCAGACCCCGAAATTCCCATCGATTTCCATGTAAAAAGCCCCAAAGACTGTTTGCTGCTGTGCTGGCAGCTCGGTGTGCTGGGAGCTGCACTGACAGGCTGCAGGAGCACAGCCTCAGCAAGGCTGTTGAAGGCAGAGGAGGATCTGTGTTAGAGAGGGGGGAACTGGGCACAGCAAGGGGAACACCCAAAAATTCCGCGTTCTTTTGGTGGCAAACCCCTCCTGAAGCAGGTCCCTCAATAAGTCTGCACTGGGACCAGTTTGAGGATGGCACTAGAAATTACTCCACACCTTAAGAGGACGCTGCAGGCAGCGAGGAGAAGCCAGACAGTTGTTGGCTTGTTCCTCACACTGGAGAAAGGGAATTAAAGAGATCTGACTGAACCCCAAGCAGCAGCCAGGAATCCGGATTTGCCTTTTTTTGGACTATCCACACTGGAGCTCCCAGCAGCTTGTGGTGCCTGTGCCAGCACATGTATCCCTGCGTGCTCACAGTGTGTCCTGCAGGATGGTCACTCTGGAGGGTCCCTGTCTCCAGGGACAGGACAGGGGGGCACCTCACCTCTCCTTCCCGGATGCCAGAGGTGAGGCACAGGCACCTCCCTCCCCTCAGCCTGGAGCCTCTCTCCTGACCACGGAGGAGCAGGGAGCAGGTGGCTGCTCTCCCAGGAACACACTTCAGGCCGGTGAGGAGAACAGCCGAGTGCTCAACAGGCTCTGGAAACAAGTGGAAGTCAAATAAGTTTGCCACTCTTTGTCCCCCTTTCAATATCTAGCTTTGATCAAAATCCTTGGATACTCAAGTGGTTGTTGACTTAATGTAGTAATGAGACATAGCCTTAAGTGAGGCCATTTCCGTGCCCATTCAGCCTCTCCAAGAGCAAGGGATGCAGGAGGGAAAGCCTCTCATGGTCTCTGGGAGCCACAGCAGAGCCTGGAGCAGAGGCCTGGCTCCAGTTCCCAGGAGATGCAGCAGGAGGGTATGGTGGCCAGAGCTACACTAGGCACACTAGAGCCTGACCAGACCAGCGCTGGGTGACACCAACAATCAACCAAAAACGCTTCCTCTGAAAGCTGCCCCCTGTGCTTGTCCCCAGAGCCCCTGCAGGGGTGGCCTGGGAGGAACCTGGGGCAATGCCCCAGCTTTGTCCTGGGCAGGGGACAGGGGACAGGTGGGGGCAGTGCCTGGCCAGTGGCACAGCCCTTCTCTGGTTCTCTGGGCAGGCTGTGGACCTGAGCGAGGCAGGAGGGAGGGAAGGGGCCCAGAGCCCGGATAAAACCAGCGAGCCCCGAGAAAAGTAAAAATTCTCCAAGTGACGGGGAGCAGCTCAGCCAATTAGGATTTTAATTCCCCTCGTTATGCACAGTCAGTCAATAAATTCTGCACCAAGCAGCTGCTCTAATTCTTAAGCCCATTAAGCCCTACATGTGATAGGCGGGCGGGAGGGGCTGCCGGGGGGCACAGACGGCGCTCCTCGAGATATGAAACATTTCCTCTTGTGCATCTGGGTCACCCCACCCAGCCCACTCTGAACGGGGATTTTATGAGGGTGGCAAATAAGAATTTATAGAAATATCCTGCCAGAGACACACACTCCACAGATGGAGAGAATAAAGAGGGGACTGCAGGAGATGCACTGAGGGACTGTTGGTGCCATGGCAGAGCAGGAGAGCACAGCCAGAGGGAGAGTTTGGGATGGAGCAACAGCATGTTGGTGTCTGAAGTGGAGGGAGAGGATCCCAAAGAGCTGGACAGGCAGCCAAGAGTGATGAAAAGCAGGATCAGAGATGCAGGGAGGAAGAAAACTCACAGGGCGGTATGGCAAGCCCAGAGGGGGCTGGGTCTGACACAGGAAGGGACCAGGAGCTACAACAGCAATTCCTGGAGAGAAGGGGCAGATGGCTGGAGCAGAGGTATCCCACCGACTACAGAGATGAAAGGCAGCAGAGAAAAGAGAATATACTGGGAGTGGAAAAGCATTCAATAGGCAAAAGGGTTTCGCTTGTTAATTGACAACCAGCTAATTACAAAGTTACTGCATGGTCAGGAAAGACATCGGCAGCAGAACAATTCGCATTCCTCCAGGGATGCACTCTGTCCTGAACAGCCCCTGCTCTAGGAATGCTGCCTCTGCCCACTGACATCCAGCACCCTGAGCGCCCCAAGCCTCGGGAGCCATGGCAAAACACAAACAGGACAGCAACTGCACCCACACCAACCCACAGGCAGCCTGAGCTGAGCCTTCCCCTCCGCCGTGGCCATCAAACCTCACCCCTAATGAAACAGGGTTGCCAGGCCAGCCCATCATCCCTCACACACTCCTGGGGACAGAACTACGACCACAGGCACTGGCAGCCCAGCTGCTGGCAGGGCTTCAAACAACAACCTCAGATTGTTACACAGCAAGAAACACGCCTGCCAAACCATTTGCAGACTATCCATGACCCCTGGAGACATCTCCACACTCAGCACTTGTTGACAGGAACCTAAACATTTTCAGAGTTTGGCCTGCCTTCTGGGGTTAAAAATCATCACAACTTTAGCTGAGCTCTTACTAATCTCAGATTACTGTGCAAGACTAATTGCAGGACATGTGCACCCAGACAAAATTTATTCTCTTTCATCCCTTAGACACAGATATGAAAACAAGCTACGCACTGCAAATTGCATTCCCACTGCACAGCAGGAAAACGTGGGCCCTCTCTCTCTGTCAGCTGCAGAAGGCACTGGAGGAGTGAGCGGTGACGAGCCCTTAAGCTTTGGTCAAGGCAAGGGGCATAAATGAAAGTTTGCTCAGTTCTGTGAACACACCAGCTGCAAAGAGGCTGTTCCTATAATCCTATCCAGCCTCAAAATGTAATTTCCTCACTTGGAAGGCTGGCTGCAGCTGCTATTCATGTCTCAGCCCGAGCCAAAGCCCAATCTCTCTCCAAAGGCTGTTTCTAGACTGGGAGCCAAACACGGGTTTTATTGTGGGGAATCAAATGGAGCCAGGGGCGTGTGCTGGAAGTTGTGGCACTCCGAGCCCCCCGGCGGTGCCGCGCTATCTCCCGCCTGGCACACGGCTCTGCAGGGCAGGAACGCGGCGCTGGCCGGGATCACCGCGCCAGGCTGGGGGCTGGGAGCGCTGGACAGCCCCTGGACAGCCCCCTGAACTTCTCCAGGGTGCGTTGCAGATCAAGCACAGCCCTCTCCGCTCCCCAAACCCACCAACAGCCAAGGGCACGCACGGCAAAGCTCCAGCCATCCGCTGGACAGCCACTGCCAGCACTGCCCTCCACTCCTCTCCAGTGAAAGAGGATTTCGCTTGTCCCTGAACTTCCCAGCATCTGGGAAGCTGGTGAACTTTGGTTTTGATTCCAAATCTACTTCTTGCAGCAGACTCCCTAAAGACCTCAAGTTTTAGGAAAGCTGAAAAGAACCTTTTTTTTTCACTGCTTAAAGAACAAGACTCCAAAGTGGACCTGACCTCCTGCTTTGCTCTCCACCTGGAAGCACCATGGAAAGTTAGTGGCAGAGTGGGAGCAAGGGTGGACCCCCCATCCCAGCAAACCATCAGTTCAGTGCAGAGGCAGCAAAACAGCCCACTGAGGAACCTGTGCTAACAGGGACGTGTAAATGAGCACCAGGGCTGCTGCCCCATCAAATCAGAATTACTCCATGGTCCCCATCAGTGCGGAGGCACTAAGTCGACACCAGCAGCCAGGCCCAGAAAGCCACTCCCCAGCCCAGTCCAGCCACAGGGAGCAGCTGTCCAGGCAGCTCCAAGCTCCAGGGATCCTCTGCCCCCACTACCTGCCCACACACAGACAGATCTCTGCATATTCACTGCAACTCCTGCACAGCACCAGCTTGCTAATTATGGCACAGAGCAGTGGCTGCTCCCAGTAAATTAATTAGAAGCAGCATCACTGTAATGTGATTAGCTGCCATCCCTCCACCTCGTAGATTGAGACAGATTTTGTTCCCAGCTCGTGTTTCAAACACCACTAGAAGCCCACTTGAGCAAGCCCATCCACAAAGGGGGACCTGCATTGCTGGGCACATGCTCAAGGCTCGGAGAAAGTGGTTTTTAAAACCTTCGCAGCTTGTCAAGGCCAGTTTATTCAAGGTAATTAATCTGTCATTTTCAGAACATTATGCATTTCCTCCACAAGGCAGCTGTCTCCTGCAGAGACACCTCAGTGTTGCTGGCCCCAAGAACACAAGGCTCAGGGATCAGCCTTTCCCCCCCCAGACCATGGCATCAGCTGGAAATTCATGATTATATGGACTGGCTTCTCTCCCTTGCCCTCTCAAGGCTATTTCCTCTCAACTGTGAGTACCAGGAATTAAGTGCAAGTTTGAACTCCAGACAAAGATCACTGAGCACTCCAAGCCCAAGGAATGCACCTCAAAGGCCTGTGGCTGCAGTGCCAGGAGTCAATACTCCAGACCTGGAATTGCAGTAACCCTCCCCATGTCACCTGTGGCAGGGACACAGATGTGAGCACAGAAATCTCTCCATCACTCCCGATCACCACAGGTAGCGGCTCAGCAGGAAATCGGGTTCCTGGCGGTCATCAGCATTAATTATCCCACAATGCCCCACCCCTGAGGAGTGACTGAAGATGCCGTGGCACACCCTGCAATGCACTGACTGTACCTGCCTGACAACTGCCCTGCTGCAGCAGAGAGAATT